ATTGCTAGTAGTTTCTAACGGAATGTTCAATTCTATCACTAACTTACTAGTAATGTATGAATATATAGACCCCGTATCAATCAATATCATAACATATTTATCAAACAATAGAAATGTACCTATTACAATCTCTGGGTCATCCCGATCCTCATTGGTCTTGAAATTATACACTCGAGCCGTGGAGTGTATCTCTTGTTGAGCAGAGGACTCTGACTGATTTCTTCTTCTGCCTCTACCTCTTCCCCTTTGGCCTGCAGAAATAGACCTCTCTAGTTGTGCAGAATCATCGGCTAACCTGGGACAATCCCGAACAAAATGTCTGGTCTCTCCACATCTAAGACAAGCTCCAAAAATTATCCTACATATCCATGAATGATTCTTTCCACAATATGGGCATTGTCTGACTTGACTCTGATTAGCTCTCCCAGCTCCAGATCCCACTGACTGAGTTTGTACCTCTCATCGGATTCGATCCTCTAGCGGAGGATGCCACTGACTCTGATCTCCCTTGGGGTCGAGAACCAGCATCTTTGCCCCCTTTTTATGGTGCAGAACTTGAAGAAGCACCCATTCTTTTGACTGTTTGAGCTCTTGAATTTTCAAATCTCTCATTCTGAGCTATTTTCAAAGCTTTGGCACGATTGACTACCTCTTGAAACGAGGATAGATTCAATACAATCAACATTTCCTTCAACCGAGGACGTAAACCCTCTACGAACCATTCACAAGCATTCTTCTCTGTAGGAACAAGCTCGGCAGCAAAGCGGCTCAACTTATTGAATTCATACTCGTACTCATATACAGTGTGATTCCATTGCTTCAAATTCATGAACTCTTGTTTCATCTGTCGACCAAATTGATATCCGATGTACTTATGCTTGAATTCTTCTAAAAATAATGACCAAGTTACTTGATTACTAGACATCCTCAATGTAACATTGGTCCACCAAATCCTTGCTTGCCCTCTTAACAAGGAAATTACTCCATCCAGCTTCTCAGTATCAGAACAATGAAGTCCCTCAAGCATGACTTTCACGTCATTAAGCAAAAGGTCCGCAGTAACAGGACCTTCCTCAGCTTCCCCTCTAAACTCGGGAGATCCTAAACCCTTCAACAATTTCGCAACATTCATTTTCAGAGTTGAAGTAGTAAGAGGTTGGAAACGCGTCAATACCACGTCTAACGTTCTAAAGAATACATCTTGATCATTCATATGTACTCCAGAGGGTGTCTGTTCTTTACTCTGCCTGGCCATGGCAGGTGAATTGCTACTTTCAGCGGGTCTATCATCTCCCGCTTCATTTCTAGAACTACCATGTTCGGACATCTATTAAGACACAATAATATCATTCTATTAGCAAAACAACATACTTACTATTCTATCAGATAAGAAGTTTTCACTATTTTGTTGGCTTATATACATTATAAGACCTTCTAGACTTCGATTTATGCCGAGAATCGACTAGACCGTAGCTATGATACCATTAAATGTAACACCCCTAACCCGTATCCGACCCGAATATGAGTCTGAGGTGTCACATTAACTTTTCAAACTTTGTCACTTAAAGAAAAACAGGGAAATTTTAAACTTTCATTAAAACAAAATACGTTAATTTACATAAAAGAGATCACGAAATACAAAATCGATCAGAGCATTCGTAATTAACAACTTATTACATACCAACACTCTATACACAACCCAAAATACCTACTTTGCCAATTACTTCTGATTTGATCTTTTAGTAGTGATGATATTCTTGCCACTTCTAGTACTGCTCTTCTTGTTTCCTGGTACCTACGTGTAAATCACTTACACGCTAAGTCATAGACTTAGTGAGGCAATAAATAAATATGTAGCTATATATTCATGAATATGCATTCTTACCATTTGATCATGACATTTCAATATGCATGTATATATGAAACTTATCTTCTTGTATCACTTTCACCTTAATTTATTTTTCAATTTCCATGTACATTATTGAGAATAGATGTATTTGAGTACATTGAGGTTGTGCACTAATGCTGTCCCCACAACTCAATAAATTCCCTCATGGGGCACTGAACATTTGTTCAATATTTGTCCCGAAGGACCACTATGTCCCGAAGGACCACTGGATATGTCCCGAATGACCACTGGATACGTCCTGAAGGACCACTGGATACGTCCCGAATGACTAATATACCCTCGACTCTTGGCATGCCAACTATACTTATAGCTCTCGTATCATATAACATGGGCTTTAACATGAATACATTTCTCATTTCATATCTCTTTCATCATTTTTCATATAAACCCATAATCTTTTCCATTATTTCACATACCTGGATTATATTCTCTGGCAATGATATTCGTTCATTCAGTGTCATATGAACATATAATGAATTATGCATACAATCACTATTACAATAGTATATGTATGCATATACATGGGTATGGAATCATTAATTCAACTATCAGAGATAGACTTATCACAAGTCTTGTCTCTATACACCTTAACTATAAAATGCTCTCACCTTAGCCTTGCTTTGATTCGATTCTAATCCTTCGATTGTTCTGGAATAAGATTACGCTCTAAATCTACATAGTAATACATTGATACTTATCAGCATACGAATTGATATATTCCAAACTATTAATCCTTAGGCTAAAAGAAAGCTATTTCCATCTCTTACTGAAGGTATGCATCGATGCACTACACCATGTATTGATGTATCCCTTGAAGGGTGCATCGATGCACTACCCATACATCGGTGCATAAATCATATTCGATGTTTGTATTTTAAGCAGGTGCATCGATGAACTCCTTATGCATCGATGCACTAATGGTATTCGATGTTCATTTATTTTAAATGAGTGCATCGATACACTCCATGTGCATCGATGCACCTTCAACAAATTCTGGGATTTTCTCTTGATGCATCGGTACACCTTGAATGTGCACCGATGCACTCTGCCCAGAATTCATTTCTTGAACCTGAAAACTTATCCATTTCAGCTTAAATCTTTCATGTTTCATCCCCTTTTATATTCTTAACTCCAGTACACATACTTAAACCAATCTATACTCATTTATTTCATCTTAAACCTCAGAATCATATTCTCCTTGTGAAATCCAAGAATTATACCAACTTTGCAACATGATTTAATTCCACTCCTAACCCTTAATATGTCTTAACTAGATTGATGACAATTCAAATTTAAATTCCAATTCTAGATATGAACTCTATTTCAAGATTTCATTCAAGAACCTCTAATCTTTAATCTCTTCTAACTCCATCATCCTTTGATTTTAAGATAACCTAAGCCTTCCTTAAGCTTAGTTATCATCTAATAATCAAAATCCAATCTTAAATTTAACAAGAAACTCAATAATAAGAAAACTCACCTTTGTTTTGCTTTACACGTACAAGGAAGAAAGAAAAAGAAAAGAACTCTGGAAGCCTTTGTGTTTTCCCCTCTTCAACCCACGTGGATACATATATAACCCTTCCTTTCTTATTCCCTTAGAAATGACCTCTTTTCCCTTCTATTCCTTCTTCCTTTCAATTCAAATCCATACAATAATTTACAAATAAATCTTTATACTATTTAATCATTCTATTTTAATCACCAAATTATGAGACTTTATAATTTAGTCACTAACCCGGTATTGAGGATGTTACACTCCCCTTGTTTGTTTTGGCAATGAACGTTATGTCTAGGCTGTTGGACATTGTTGTTGAAGAAAGAGTGTTTAAGTACCATCCTAAATGCAGTAGGGTCGGACTTACTCATATGTGTTTTGAAGATGATTTGTTGAGTTTTTGCAAAGGCACTCTTGAGTCTATTTTGTGGGTAAAGAGTGTTTCAGAGAAGTTTTATGAATTGTCTGGGTTAAAATTAAATGCCTCTATGTTGAGATGTTTGTTGCTGGAATGGATGTTGATGAGGTGACTTTGGTTGAGGGGGCTACTGGTTTCAGACTAGGAACACTACCTGTCAGGTACGTTGGGTTTCCCCTAGTAACTAGGAAGTTAACTGAAAGGGATTATGTTGATCTAGTGGATAAAATAAGAGCCAGGTTAGGGCTTTGGTCTAATAAATATCTAAGTTATGCATGTAAGCTTCAGCTGATTAGGCTATTTTAGTATTGTTAACTATTAATGCATGAAATTAAATTTCCCTGCTGCAGTGGTTAGGAGAATAGACCAAATTTGTGCTAGGTTTTTTTGGAAGGGGAAGATATGGCTGTAAAAGAAGCTAGGGTGAGCTAGGGGAGTATATGTACTCTTAAATCTGAAGGTGGTTTGGGAATAAAAAATTTAAAGTGTTGTAACAAGGCTTACATGCTACTTTTAATGAAGAGGTTGCTTGTAGGGGAAGAGTCCCTTTGGATGACCTAGGTCAGGACCTATGTCTTTAAAGGTACTGACTTTTGGATTGTTGAAAGTAGGCCTTGATTTAGTTGGTGTAGTTGGTGTGTAAGGAAGATTCTGGGGATGAGGGATAAATTTCATTCTTTGTTTTTTGGGGCTATTGGTTGGGACAAGATAATTGTTAGATGAATTTGGAATAAAATAAGGGAAATGAGGGAGAAAGTGTTGTGGCATAGACTTATTTGGTTTCCCTTGCATGTTCCTAAGTATTCCCTAATTGATTGGATGACAATCCTTGATTGATTGTCTACTACTAACATTAAATTATTATAAAATGTGACAATTACCTAGTGATATGATATAAAATAATAATAAAATATACATCATTTTACTATCTATACTAGCAGCTGTCATTGCTTCCATCTTAAACCCGTGCTTGTTGTTTATCCTTCTGTGTCAACACTACAATCCTCAAGACTTCTAAGAAGAAAAATGTTCTCTTTAATCACTAAATTTAATTATTTTATAGTGTTATAAATATCATATTCCAAACTTTAAATTAATTTATTTAGCTAAGTTATACTACAATGCAGCAAATTACAATAGACCTGAGCAGACAAAGCTGAAAATAAAGGTGAAGATTTTTTTAACGTCTTTGTCCAAATTTAGAACAGTAGCAAGGATTGCAACCAAAGTATAATTATTATCTCTACAAACCATGAATAGTCTGATTCAGAACCATCTTCCTATATGCAACACATTTCTTCTGGGAGCACTTAGCAATGGAACCCCAAATTTGTCGTCAACAGAGTTAACATCCTTGAGAAGTGCCGAATATATCTTACTCCTGATTAGGCATCAAGCTTTGGGCCTCCTTCACGGCAGAACTAACAGCGTACAGCACCATCTTTTTTACCTGCACATAACACAATCCAATGAAGCCTGTAAAGTAATTATTCAATTTCGTAGTCTTTTACAGAAAACAACATTTCTACTGAAGAAGTTTGTCAAGTCTGTGAAAAAACTCGTCATATAAACAAAAATATCTACAATTCTAACACTGATAAATTACCACAAAATCTGAAGCAAGATAGTTTTATCTTTTTTTTTCAAGTTCTAGACAATCAAGGAGGTAATATATCATAGAGCACGTAAATCTAGCTCTCCAAAAGTAAGCCAGTCTACTCGAACCTATTTGTTAGGATCCCCGGTGTTACTTTGTTGAGCTCCAACTATAAAAGTTACAAAATGATACCTAATTGTTTATGTGTTCCAAACTCATCCTTTTCTGTCAAAATTTTGAATATCATTTGAGCTGAACGTTAACCAGCTGATTGAGATATGACAAATTCCAATCTCATATCTATTTGAGTTGTATTTTGTAGCTCGAGTCTCCGTTTATATTGTCACTGAGCCAATGCTTAAAACATTGTTTCGTTTGAGTCAATGCTTGAAAGCAATGCTAATGCTTGTAGACATCATTGAAAATATAATTTTATCATATCCCGTTCAACATGTTAACGTCAAATTCAGACGACTGACAATATTTTTAACGAAAAAGGACAAGTTTAGAACATATGAATAGTCAAATGATCATTTTGTAACTTTTAATAGATGAGATACTGCTAAACAAAATATCTTATAGTTAGGGGACCATTTGTATACGTTACTCTTAAAATTAATGAAAATCACATTTTATCTTTTAAAATAGAAAAAACATAACCCTATTAGGGTATATAAAATCCTATACATCTATTCTACAAGTTCTGAAATAATTAACTTCTAACAAAAAGATAAGTCACATTTTAGTCTTTGGACTTATTTACTCTCTTTTTTTCCTTCATATTATTACACTTTTGCAACAATGTTAGGGGATGCAACACTTTGAGATAATCACCCGATTGATAGAAATATAAAAAGCTATGACCCACATTCTAAAATTAACACCCCCAAATTTATGATCCACATCTTAAAATGATTCCTAAACTTTAAAATATTTTATATCAGTCCACCAAATTATGACATATATGTTAAATTAATATGTAAACTTTAAAACTTTCTTTATCAATCCCCCAAATTATAATCTACATTCTAAATCAATCCTAAAGTTTCAAACATTCTATATACATTCCTAATACTATTAGTTTCATTCCATTTTGATCATTCTGCTAACGAATTATGATGATTAAAAACTAATTTATTTAAAAAAAATTAAAAATTCAACACGTCTAAAAGATTCTCAAAACCTTCAAAAAAAGATTAATTTTTTTAAAAGGTCAAGGGTCTAATTATCATAAACTTGAAAAGCAAATTATATATATATTAAAATCAAGAATTCAATTCTTAAGACATTAAAAAAGTAGTAAAGTTAACGACATGTTAACAGTTGATCAAAATGAAATGATATTAACAATTTAAGAATTCATACGAAACACTTTAAAGTTTAAGGACTAATTTAAAATGATGTCATAATTTGAAAAACTATTGCGCAATCATGCTCCTGTCGGAGCTTCCAACGAGTCCATATCCTTCAAGGCACATGAGTATCATAGCCTCCAATCAGCTACAATGCATAGACATCCTCTGATAGACCCACGTGATCTACCAGGGCAAGTTAAAGATCTGACAACCAGATCTATTTAGCCTGCAGACATATGAGTAGACATAACTACTCTATGCCTAACTCCATCAGCTAAGACCACTATAAATACAATTAGCCACCAATGGAAAAGGGATCATGTCCATTTTCTTCTCCTCCTTTACTATCATCTTCCGTTAGGCTTTCATCTCTCACAGAGAAATACTGGCCAACAACCGTATCGTCATCGACAGAAGCTATTTGCCCGAACTAGAAGAATTAATCGTCAAAGATTATTTCCATCAACAAAATTTAATGTAAAAAAATAGATAGGTTCAAGAACCTCTTCGGCCTTACAAAATTTAGATACTACTGTGAAAAAAATAGGCAAGATAACAATGTGAACAATTTTTTTTATTTATGTGGAAAAACAAACTAGTTCCCTTCCAATAATAATACAAATATTGAGTCCTTTAAGAAATAAATAAAACTACTTTCCTTAAGAATCCTACGTCCATAAGAATACTTTAAAAAAAAGAGTTTGTCCTCAAGATTGAAGTCAAAATACCACAATATAACCAACAGTTCAATCATAGTTTCAGTTTTTGGTTCTAGTCATTTTGATAAGCTAATCCCAACCAAAAGAGCGTCTTACATTGATTCTGAACCATATAGGATTCAACACAATTGAAACATTAGCCCTTTACCCTTCTCTCTCTACCATTTCTGGTAATGATAATTTGTTTAAAGGAAGGATAGATGAACTTACCGAATTCACTTCAGTAATTCCTTTTAACGTATTGCTGCCTCCAGAAAGTTGGGATGTCATTTCTCTACTGTATTTTTGACACGTTGCATTGCTGCTTGTATTCAAAAGCTCTAACGAGGCTCAAGGCCATGACCAGGGGGTTGTGCATTTTAACATTCACTCAGATGGAATCATCTGGACATAACGTCTCAGCCCTGTTGTTATGCCATGCGGCACTTGAATGAGACATCTCCTAGATAAATCAGCCTTTCCCAACATAGATCCATGCATCGAATTAACTCGTCATGAAATCAAGTCACAATGGCTAAGAATCATCCCTCAGGACAGTTGATCCACAGTATCCTGTCCGAACAAATAAACCACACATTAGTCTCACGCCATAATATAATTCCAAAGCCACAAGTACTCTTGGAAGGGAAATCCTGCGGGACATAGCAAATTCTAGGTGGTAACCCCACTCCTTAACCAAGAGCCCGATATGGGTTCCACTGGCTCCAAACCATCCCTAGATATCATCCTAGAGAGATATTGTACCATCCACTTGGTCCTAAAGCCCGCACACCTAGGTTCCTCTTGAACCTAGGAGAAGGTCACTTACACCATGGTAGCTCCACATGCTAGCTCAGGGTGAGGAGGATGGTGGAGACCCAGCAGCAGATCATTTCTCCCTAAAGAGTTAAAGAAACTTACCAGCTATGACACAAGTACACGTTGGAACGTCTGAACTAAGGCCATTACCTTGACAGGCCCTCAATCTTCATTATTCAAGCTTTTCCCTTGCTCACGGTATCGTCTACTCAGCCTATCATTGGGTCACTGTGGGAGTAAGCTCATGGAAACGAGATGTCCCCGACATACTCCCCCACTCACTTTGGTCGATGTCCTCATCGACACTAAAACCATATCTTAGTTACCTTGTTGCAAAGAGTTGACCCTTCTCATGAGGTCCATCACTTGCCCTCAAGAACTAAGATAATGATTCGTTCCATGGGACACCAAACTCATCGCTTTAGGTAGAGTAAACCCACTTACCTTCGTATTTCTCTCATTGCCATTGAACTTGTTCTTTCTAAGGATGTAACCTTCAGGAACTGTCGTTGTTATGTCTAACATTTTGAACACCATCACATATTCTAAACCATATGACGCATCACTTGGTGTGTTACCCCTTGCATACCTATCGCTTTTTGGCATCTCAAACATTGTGTCATATATGACACGATTCAAGTAAACATTCCCAAATCATGATAAACCAACACGTTGGTTTCGCCAAACGTAAAGACTAGCTTTAACAATTTTTTTCCAAAAATTGCTGCTGCTGGATTTATCGTTCCTGTGCTTCAGACTAAATAAATTTTCTAAGGGGTTGTTGCCTGATGGAGGACCAAAATGAAGAAAGCAATAATTATGAAACTCTAACTAGTTCACCATATGAACAATCCAATTGCATTCGCCAATGCCCGAGTTGTGCCTTTCCCGAAGGATGCCAAGCCTACCTTGTTTGCCGCATTGGCACGTTCAAATAATTGTTCACATTGATGCAGCTAGATCAAAGGATCTTCCAATCCATCAAAGCCAGGAAAATCAAATTTTGTATACTCGGAAACGATTCCTCCAACTAGAAGAATAACCTCGCCAAATGTTAATGGATGGAGCTACAACTCCCACATTGGTGGTGGCAAGGGAGCCTGATATAGTTGTGCTGCCAAACTAGTTACATCTCCATCCCCAATTGTATATTTTATCAAACTAGAAAATAAGGTTTTAACCTGTTCTTGCATTTATAGATTGATTTTTTGGAAGTGGTTGTATGTACGATTCCATAGATCGTCATTAGTTGATTTCTCCGAATAAAAACAACACCGAACTACTCCTCTTCTTCTCTTTCTTTCCTTCAATTCAAACTCCTCAAAAAATATTCCACAATCTCCTCAAATCCCAATCAAAACTAAAAGCTAAAATTTCTTGATCCGCCATTGTAAATCGTTGGATCAACTTAAAACCTAACTATGTTAATCTCTCACCAAATGAAACCTTCACACCATTGGTATTGACCGACGACTGCACCATTCATTGAAAACTCACCAAGGCCGAAATGAGTAGTTCTTTTTGGTTCTTTACTTTTTCGCTTGTTTATGTTGTTGTTTATTGTTTGTTTCTATTAGTGGTTTTGGCTATGGACGGTGACCAAATGGAATTGGTGATATAGGCTCAGGTTTTGGTTGTGGATGGTGAAGGACTTTTAGTTGTTTTTGAGACTTGGATGAAATGGTGGTGATGAATGGTTCAATAATTGTGGGGAAACAATGAAGCTCTCAAATACGGTGAGTGTCATGTTTAATGGCCACGAAGATAAAAAAAAGTCAGTGATGATGGCAGTGACGATGATCCGAGCGACGGCTGCCAATTTGAAAGAGGATGCGTAGGGCTTTTTAGGGTTAAATGAAAAAGAAAAGAAATAACATGCCATATCAACTTTTCGTAATGGTAGTTGATGACACTGACCGTGATTAAAGCGAATTAAAAATTCAGTGATTGTATTGAAAATTTTAAAAGTTCAATGATCAGAGTAAAATCACCTTAAAACTTCAAGACCATGTATGGACCTTAGCCTATTTTTTTATTATTCCATATGCCCCTTTCAATTGAGATTATAATAAAAATTAAGTATATCACTAAATAAAGTCCCACAAAACACAATTTCTATTCTAATTCTAAGATTCCTAGAACAATTAACTTCTCGTAAGAACAATAAAACCTCTTTTATTAATATTCTTAGATACTTATCCTAAAAATAATAAAACCACTTTTTTAAGTCTTACGTGCATAGCACTATTCAACCAAAATAAATAAACAAAGCTCAAGTTCCTTACCTCTAACTTGTCTTCCTTGGCTCTATGGTCCTTTGGAAGCTTACGGAACTCTGTAGTTAACCGAAGACATTCTTCAGCGTTGTCGGGAGAAACAAAATCTAGAGCCACCTTAATACAAGACTGGTAGAAAAAGATAGTTAATGGAATTAATACTGCGAGCTGAAATTTATAAATGTACACCGACACACAAGATTGTCAGTAGGCAATGGCTTACTTGTCTATTTCTCACTTGATGAGGACATCCAGCAGGAATGAAAACAGCCTCACCAAGGTATTGCACAAATGTCCATGGTTCAACATCTGCATTCCACATCAAAATATTAGTGGTACTGTATAAATGGTGGAAATTTTGAAGGCTTGCCATTGATCCATCAACAAAGAGAATGTTCTTACCGAACTCCTCTTTCAGTTGTTTCTTATGCCTCTCGTTTAAGAAAAGGGTCTGATCATGAATGGGGTGAATGACCTAGGAAAACACAATGTGAGGGATTATTCAGCTCTCCAGTACAGAGAAAACATACTAAAAACTCACTAGTGGAAGCAACGGTACTCACTGAAGTAACTGGAAGATTCTCAATATGGCGAAATTCCTTCTTGTGCTTTTCCAAGTACTCAATGATTTTAGGAACATCCTGCTTGCGAAAGATATCCCAAACAGCACCCCCGTTCACCAGTTGTGGCTTATCCTTGTTTCCTCTATCCTTGACAGGTTTTTGGTCTGGTTCTTTTGATTTGGGACCACTACCTGCACTGTCACACGAGTAAGAAGTCCCTGAAATGTATTTCTGGTTACTAAGTTCCCTTACTGCCTTGTCGTTCGAACGTTTAATCTTTTTGAAGTAGGATGCACTCAAATCAGCTAAACCTTCTCCCTCAGCTACCACTGCATTGACATCAAAAATGGCATAATCAGAAGGGATTGTCAAATTTCCAACAAAGGATTCCCTTTCAGAAGCAACCGCACCATTAGATAAATCATTTCCTCCTTCAGAGTCGTTTATGCTTTTCTTGTTCAAGTTCACGATTGGGTTTTCTGCTGTGGATGCATTTAACCCTGAAGAGTAGACATTTTCATCTATTTGATCCTTTTCTGAAATATTTCTAGCCTCTTTCTCCACTCTTAAACTATGATCGATTGTTCTGATTTCCAAATTATCCTTAACTACCGTGCTGCTTGACGAAGAGCTCTCCTTCATTTCAAGTTCTTGCATTTTTTGAGCAGTTCTCACTTTTTCGTTATTTTCTCGAGAGGACTCTGCCTGCACCTTCACATTATAATTCAACAGGCTTGATTTTTTATCCAAAATACCAACGAGCAGATAATCCCTTTCAGCTACACTGCTAGAAGAAGAGCATTTGTTCGCTTCAACTTTCTGCTTATTTGAGGTTATTTTTCTGTCAGCATTTTCCAGGAAGGAGCATTTTCCAGGGTTATTATTACAACCTAATGACCTTGTCTCACCATTTTCGTTAAAATCAACAATGATAGGATTTGAATCGTTTACTTGAATAAACTCTTCCTCAATACTATTATTTTTCCAATTTTCAGAACAAACAGAATACCTCATTCCACTATCTGATTCATCCAATCCTACAATTATATCCCTGGAATTTGAAAATGGCGGATTAGTATTTGATTGTTCTTTATCCAGACTCCTTACCTTTATGGGTTTCTCTTCCACTGACAAGTGGTCATGCTCCATGCTTCCATTCTTTGTGCAGTCAGTAACAATGATCTTGTCCCCTTGAGTTCTCTTCAATAGTTTTTTTTCCATCCCAACCTTAGCCTCATCTACACCACCGTAGAGCTGCTGCAAATCTTGAGCAGCATGTCTTTTCTTTAAGCGTTCTATCTTTTCACGTTGCCAAGAACCAATTTTCACCTTAGTAGTGTGTGTCAATACATTTACCTATAACAATATCTAAGAAATGTTAGCAAATTGAAGTCTATAAAAACAAAATGCTAGATATCATTGTGTTGTGTTGTCACAGAAGATGAAAGCTTTAGACTTAAACAATACCGCATCAGATATATCACAATGCAGCTTTGTCACTGAATCGCCTCTACCAAGTTCTTCAGAGAATCCGTATGCAATATATGTTTTGGGTCCCATATCTGGCTTCAACGATCCCTCTGGAAGCCGTGTAGCAAGGTTTAAAAAGCCAGATTTTGGATCAGTGTAATCACTGAAAGGGAGCGCAGCAATGAATTCAGCATTATGCCTGGGCAAACGTTCTTCAAATAAGGTTGATGAAGGCCAATCCTTCAATTTTAACATTTCTGGCCAGTGAGTTCCATGCATACGACCCTCTAAGTAGCCCTTGAAAAATTGGTGAATATTAATTTCAACCTACATGACAGTACAAAACAACATTTTAGATCCACAGAAATTAGAACATTCAGCGGAGCTTAGAGGTTACATAACTGACCTCACACCAGTCTAAGCAATCAATGGCCTTTACGCTTCGAGTCTCTTCTTTGAATTTTACATTGGAACCTGTTTCTCTAAAAGCTCTCCACATGACCATGGGTTCCCAGCTAAGACCAGATGTTTGCCCAAGAACATTACGGACAATTACAGGTTCACCCCTCATCCAGTGCCTCTGAAAATGCTCAATTTCACCATCTGATATATCAGGAGCATCTGGGCAGAATAAATCATTATCACAAGATTCTTCCCGGTTAGCTGCATGCCTCACGTTAGAACTGTCGTTGCTGTTTCCATCTGAAACATTTGGCTGGCATGAATAACATTCTCTATGGAAATCAACCTCAGGCGGCTTGTATTGAATGGTAATGTCCTCGGCATTACTTATCAGCTTAGTTACCCAATTAGCTTTAAAAATACGCCTCAACTCAAGAGTTGAAGCACCACAACCCTCTTTGTCACTTCGAGGGCATGGAATGCTACCATCAGCATTAGCTCTCCAATCAGGAAACTGAGAAGACATAACAGCTTTACCATTTCTGAGTGAATCCGCTTGGCTCTCCCATCCATGTCTTCTCCTTGGTACATTACCTTTTTCATCCTTTTTTATAGTTTGAAAATCAGCTCTTTCAACAAACTGTCGGCAGGATGTTTCTGCTTCATTAGCATCAGGTTGGCAGCCTTCTCTTAGCTCTTGACAACAGGTTGGGCATAGATCATAAGAACAACTGGGGCAGCTTCTGTGAAAATTAACAATTGATGTATTGCAGTTGTCACTGTCATACAACAGCATGTAAAGTTCAGTGGATGAAGTTCACATTTGATAACCAAGTCCTATCAGATTTTAGTTCAAGTTGGAAACATACCAATATAAACGTTCGCTTTTATCCAACTTAGACCTTGTTATATCAATTTCTGTCAATTGAGATCCTAACATTTCGAAGCCATGGCAATATCAAACACAGAGAACAAAAAGTTTGTTAACTAATTTCATTTACAAGTGCATCATGTATGTTTCTACCTTTTATGTTTGCTTCAATATCTATTTCGGAGCTCTGCTCCCTGTATATATGCCTAAGAACCGGTAGAGCTTTATACAGCAAGTATTTTAGCAGCTCTAGTTTGACACAAGCGTCTATATCCTTGTGGATATCCTGTCAAAGAACAGAAAATAAACAAGAATAACAACCAGAAAAAGAAAACAAAAAAAGTGGGGAATGGGACGTGCATTAGGCAGCTAGATTACATTGAGAGAGAGAAGTTAAAGGCTTCTACCTTGACAACCAAAACTTCACGCAAACAAGCTTTACAATTGCAATTTCCACAGCAGTACGGACATACAGCCTCAATTTCATCCCTTGTTTTCTCAGGATACCTGTTTCGTCCTAACAATTCAGCTACAGCTATAAAATGGTATCAAAAGTAAACTAGTGCCAGATTTGAGAACCGAAGCATTTTCAAGCATGGTCTTGTCAAAATCTGTACTGTTAAACTTACCATTTTTCAATACACTCGTAACAATAACGCTTCCTTCCACAACTGGAACAAAACACAACGCCGCTTTTATCGTTCCTTTGGCATTGATGACACATTAAACTTACAAATTCTTTACTTTTATTCGACTTGCCCTGCAATGCAAAAAGTTGTTCTTCTGAGACAGTTCAATTTTGAACATGATGCAAATACATTGGATATAAAGCGGTTACTGCTTCACCATTACAATTTATTGTTTCATAAAACTACGCTTAAAACTCCAATGTACTCATTTCTGCTGTTAAATATGAATGAAGTGGAAGCTGATCATATATCTGATAGGAAATTAAAGAAAGCCAGTAAATTTTATCTTATCATTATTTTCATTTTAAAATATGAAAAAAAAAATTGTTTAGAAATTTCTATGTAAATGTAATTGAGATTAAAAGGAACAAAGAGATACGAATATGTTGAAATTACCTTCTCGAAGGACATTTTCTCTCGTGCGGAGGCATTCCTGACCGTCTTACCAGAAGAGCTGTGTTTTTCACGAGAATAGATTTTTCCTTCGCCGGAATCCACTATCTGCTTCGCTGAATTTCCAGAACCAACCTTACTCCCCTTGATATCAAGCTTCGTTATCTCATCCTTTTTGCGCTCTCTCGCCAACATCTCAGTCAAGACAAGCCCGTCCTCTTCTTCCGATCCACCGCTCAATTCCTCCTCCCCCCTCTTCTTCTTCTTGTTCTTCTCGGATCCGCTGAATTCACCTCTCATAGTGCCACTGATCTTTAACTTGCGGGATTCACGGTCGCTGCCTTCATCCCTATTTCCACGAACTCTTTTCTGTGCCTGTCTATTTCTCTGCAAATGGTGCTTCTCGCATAACGGTTTTGAAGGCAACGCCATTTCGCTGCACCGCCACTTCCCAGGACCGGCGTTCCTCCTGCACCGCCGATAGGACGGTGAGTCCATGGCCAAGTAGGGATATAATATAACCGCTCAGGTTGTCATTGGATTGAAGCTTCAAAAGTCTGATCAGATTGAAATTCTTTCACGAGTAGAGAGGCTGAAATAAAGAGCTGAGATTTTATAAACGTCTGCTCGAATCCCTATGCATTTGTACGAAGAAAGAGGCGAGTCCTGAAAGCAATGCGAATTGTGAAACCCCCTAGGGGTAAAAATGGTTCCCTACTTCCTATTATTCTCTCTCTCTCTCTCTCTCTCTCTCTCTCTTAATTATCAAATTTGATCACTTCTATTTTAATCTTGTTTAAATTTTATTATCAAAGTTATCGATTTATTATAATTTTTTATCAATTTTATGAAAGATTATTTAAAATTCATTTTTATTTAAATAGGAAAATATTCTAACTGAGAAGTATTTTCGTATGATATTTAAGTTAAATGTTTATTATAGTTATCTAGTATACAATTTATTAGTAATTGATTTGAATTTAAGTATTGTACGGGTTCATTATACGGATAATCCTCTTAATTTAATTTAGCTTATTTCAGTTATAATATAAAAATTCAAATACTTATTAATATTTATAATATTTAATGTTTCATTTCACAAAATTATTAATAATCGCGAAATAACTTATCTCAAGGGATCATTGTTGTTCCTAAAGGTCACGGGTTTTAGTACCAGCGAATGCAATAAGGTAATTGAGTGTTTATTGTCAAATAATTGAAAATATTTAAAACTAGTGGCAGATCTAAAAATTTAACAATGGGGTCCAAAATTTTAATTTTGTTTTCTTAAAAATAATGGTGTGCAAAATTTTTTATTTTTTCCATTTTTCTTTAACATGTTATACTAAATTTCACTTTTTTCCTAAACAATGGGAATGCACTTGACCTCCTATGGGGCTTAGTGCATCCACCCCTATTTAAAACATATACTACTTTATAATATCACCTTAGTTAAATCAAAACAAAAATAATAAACTAATAAACTGTATTCGAAAATTATATTTGAGTTGTGAAAGTGGGCTTATTCATTAAAATTTACCAACAACGGGCCGTATTGGTGGCCTAGGGGAAGGTTGTTGGCCTTAGGTTGTTAATATAATATTTAAAATGGCAGGGCAGGTAAATTATTTAGGAAAATAGGGTAAGTAAAAGTTTATTTTGAATTTACGATATTTTCTATAATATTCATGAAACTCGTTATTTTGAAGTGATGAGTTTGAATAAAAAATATTTTTTATTCAAATTCGTCACGTTGTGGTGACGAGTTTCAATAAAATATATATTTTTTTTTATTAATTTTTAGCACATCAAAGTAAAAAAAATTAAATAAAAAATAATTTTTTATTAAAACTCGTCACCTCAATGTGAAAAATTTCAAGTCATCATAACAAATATCGTAGATCCCTAAATAAACTTCACATGCCCTATTGGGCTATTTTTTTTTGGTTCTGCCCTATTGTACCCAAAAAAAATAGCAACTATATTACCAATTGAGCACTTGAGTGGTAAAAAGATTAAAAAGAGTATTATTCTTCAAAGAGATTTTAGATTTGAGCAATTGAAAAAATAGCAAGTCATTAAAACCAAAAACCCTAGTATTTTCTTTTTGTTACTGGTTGTTGTTACTTATCTCTTTCTCATGAAGAAAATTTGTTCTCAATCTTTCTTGGATTTTTAAAGCATTTTCGAAGATCACCCTCTGTGGCTAGCGTCAAAAGAACAAAACCGCAAATTGATTCCTCGGATTCCTTTTTAGTCTGGATAAATGTGATTATCTAAAGAAGGGAAACTACTCAAAGATGATTGGTTCCTCTGTTATCATAACAGAATATAGTAGTGAAGAGAAACTTTGATCATCTGCAGATTGTTCACCATGAAAAACTTTGATTTGACCATCCATTCCACTCTCTACAGACTTAATATAGTAAATCCGTGAGGATGTAAGGTTCCATCAATGCTCGAGCCCCTAGAGATTTTTGTTCAAGAAAAGGAAAAAGTCGGGATCTAGTTTCCGTCGGGTTGTTTTTTCTCTGCTGGTGTTTCGTGGTTCGATCTTTGACCTTTTAAATTTTTATTATTGTTTTGATTTTAGGTTTCTGCTGAAGACTTTGTTGTTCTTTTATGCTACATTTGAGGGAAAAGAGCTCATCATTTTCTAGATTATCATATTTCTAGACGTTATTAATACAAGTTTCTCTTTCTCAACGTTGTGATGATAAACGCATGTTATGAATTCAGTTTGAACAGTGCGGAGCCACAGTTTAGTGAGAGTTGGCTGAAATCCGAATTTTCTTCGATTAATTATTTATTTTACAGACGGTGACCACCTTGAAATTTTATTTTATATTGTTAACATATGTGTGTCCACCATGAAAAATATTTATGGATCCGCCACTGAATTTAAATTTCGTAAGTTTTCTTTTTATGTTCTTAGTGTTTCATTATAGTTTTGTGTTCTGCATGTTTTGTTCAGATTTCCTTACAGATTTTTAAAGGCCTATAATCCATGTCGAATGAGATTTTTGAAAAATAAAATCATAAGAGTCCCTAATAACTTAGAAGTAAAGAAAATTTATTGCCAAATGTCATTCTACTTTAACTATGAGAAATGTTTTAGGGTGAAGTATTTTAAATTTTTAATGCCAAATTGAAGATTAATTTTATCAATATTTGAAATTTTCAAGAAGATTTTTATAAGAGTTATATTGAATAAATTAAGTTAGATACATTTTTATAAAGTTAGAATTATATATCTAATCTAAGCTGCGTAAACAGTTCTCTATTATTTTATTTACTTTTATGATTTTCAATATTTTTTTCTTAATTACTACTAAACCATGGCATTGCTAAAACAAAACTACAGTTATTGGTGTGTTTAGCCCTTTACGTTATTGGTTCGTTCAGTTTAAGTTACTCGACCGTTAACTTCCGTTAACCCATTAACGGAAGTCTGAGTTGGTATCTTCTTCTTCTTCTTTATTCATCCATATATACAGTCAACTTGGTCGGAGTTTAAAATGTTGTATTATATGAAAAAAAATCTGATATAAAACTATTTGAAAATATTTCCAAGGTTTCAAGGTGAGAACTTAGACAAGAACAAGATGTTATATCTTAAGTTCGAGAAGATGGTTGAGAAACATGGATATAAACCTGCACAACTTGCACTTGCATGGGTTACTTCTTCATCAAGCAGATGATGTGACACCCCTTCCTGATGAGTCAAAATACTCTCTCTAATAAATTTTTAAAGATAATTATGCAAGCCAATTACATTTATAGAGAAAACAACTTCTGATATTTAATAAAGTACTCCAAAGAATTAATTATTTCAAGTGTGCACGTTAAGGAGGGTAGGCTACTTCCCCACTGATATTAAGCCATTATAAGCTTTCTTTCACAAGGTAAGCCAACCTACAACCCAATCAAAGGGTTAAGATTTTTCCCGTGTTTTTTTCTAAAGAATTCCCAGTAACACCATTACTTTCTCAGAAGAAACCAAAAAGTTGTTATAGAATAATTAGTCAAAATTACCATTAAACTATAAATCAAAGAGCTCTTTCATGATGAATGGCTATGTACTTCGAAGAAGAAGCAAAAGAATTTATGATCAATAATAACAATGGCATGGGCTTAGCCGAAGGCAGAAGTTACTAGAGTTTACCTGTGCATTACGAAAGTGCTAATGTCTTTGTGCATAATGATAGCAGTGAGCAGATGAATAAGAGGCATGCCATGAAGCTGTTTAAATCTGTAGTCGGTTATATCAGCAGTTCCTGTTCAATCCATAACGACAAGTATCTAGAATGTATTAACACACCTAACAAGTTATGATTTTGGCTTATATGTAACGGCCACCGCAAGAACTGTATGCTTCTGCTATGAAAGTAGTGAAAGAAAAAATGATGAGGATTTCTGGTTTTCTGCTGTAAAGAAGCATGTGACTCCATTGGTGATCGGTGAGCTGAGAAAAGAGATACTGAGGATGATCAAAGATCTAATCAACAAGAAATGAGAGTTTTTGAATCACAAGTTAAAATTGAAGGATGGGTTCAGATTGAGTGGAGTGTACAAAGAGATGAAGTTCTATCATTTCATGGATTTTGTATGAATTTATGTTCTTTCTTCAAAGTTTGGGACTTGATCGGATAGTAACTTAAAGCAGGCAGTGTAACACAGCCATATATATTGCTTATTTATTACTTCCTCTCCTTTTTTTCCCTTTTATTATATTGTTAAATGAAAACAAAATCAAGTAAGTAAAATAAAAATAACTAAAGGTCTTCCATTCCATGGATTTTGTATGAATTTATGTTCTTTCTTTCAAAGTTTGGGACTTGATCGGATAGCAATTTAAAGAAGGCAGTGTAACACAGTCATATATATTGCTTATTTATTACTTCCTCTCCTTTTTTTCCCCTTTTATTCTATTGTTAAATGAAAACAATATCAAGTAAGTAAAATAAAAATAACTAAAGGACTTAAAAATAGAACTCTATGATTCTATTATTCAGATAATAAGGATATGACTTTGATGAATTTCCATAACAAGACTAGTAGTGAGTTTAGCGGTGGAACTCTCCATAGGAGGGTAAGGCCTGCTATTTTCTCGTTGCTTTGAAATATTATGGGTTTTGCTAAAAATAACTGAAGGATTTAAAAATAGAACTATATGATTCTATCATTCAGATAATAAGGATATGACGTTGAAGAAGAAGAAGAGGAAGAGGAAGAAGAAGAAGAAGACTATGAAAGAAGAAGAAAGAAGAAGAAGAAGACTATATGAAAGAAGAAGAAAGAAGAAGACTATATGAAAGAAGAAGAAAGAAGAAGACTATATGAAAGAAGAAGAAGAAGACGACTGTATGAAAGAAGAAGAAGAAGAAGAAGAAGACGACTATATGAAAGAAGAAGAAGAAGAAGAAGAATACTATGAAAGAAGAAGACTATGAAAGAAGAAGAAAGAAGAAGAAGAAGACTATATGAAAGAAGAAGAAGAAGAAAAAGAAAAAGACTATATGAAAGAAGAAGAAGAAGAAGACTATATGAAAGAAGAAGAAGAAGAAGAAGAAATAACTAAAGGATTTAAAAATAGAACTATATGATTCTATCATTCAGATAATAAGTATAAGAAGAACCCTCTTATCACCATCGTCATCATGTGTAACCAAACCACCGCCGTCGAGAAATCATCTCCGACTTCGATCACATTTACTTTGATTAACCTGAAAAGCATTACCATGGAGCTGATTACCTATGCGGTTTAATCTCTAATATTATATCAGAAGCTAAATCGCTCTTCAATCTGGCCTTCCCCATAGCTTTAATCGGTCTCATTTTGTACTCTCGTTCCACCATTTCCATGCTCTTTCTCGGCTATCTCGGCGATATCGAACTCGCCGCCGGTTCATTAGCTATAGCCTTTACTAACAACCCCGGCTACTCGGTTCTTTCCGGCCTTGCTTTGGGTATGGAACCGCTCTGCTCCCAAGCATTTGAAGCTCAAAGACATAAGCTTTTATCATTAACCCTTCACCGCTACGTTGTTTACATGTTATTCACTTCCGTTTTAATATCTTTTCTTTGGGTAAACATGTTCAATATCATGGTTTATCTTCAACAATATCATAATATCGCCCGCCTCGGTCAGAGGTATTTGCTTTTCTCCCTCCTAGATCTATTCACCAACTCTTTCGTTCACCCAATCCGCATTTACCTTCGCGCTCAAGGCATCACCCACCCTGTCGCTTTAGCATCCTTCTTCGGCACCATTCGTCATTTGCCGATCAGCTTCGTACCCGTTTCGCATTTCAACTTCGGCATCGCTGGCATTACGGCTTCGGCTTTCATATCCAACTTCTTTGTTCTCATCTCCTTGGTTGCTTAAGTTTGGGTCTTCGGCATCCACGAGCCAACGTGGGAAAAGCCGAGCTTTGAGTGTTTAACCGGCTGGAAGTCACTGCTGAAGCTGCCGGCACCGAGAGCGTTTTGGTTTGTTTGGAGTGGTGGTGGTACGAGATCATGATCGTTTTTGTCTCAGAACTTTTCCTTTCCCCTTTTTTCTGACTAGATTTCCTCTCATACTCTCTCTCTTAATTGATTTTCTCATACAAGTGGATGAAGAAAGGGTTTCTGCCTCATAACTTTTCGTTTCCCCCTTTTTTGTGTGTAGATTCCTTGGTAAATAGTATAATCTTAAGAGTAGGGTTCAATTAAATCAAGTAAATATTCAAGCACCGGTCAAAGGGATTTCAATTATTTTCTAACGTGGTAGTCAATCCATCCACGTAAGCAGTTAACACACCGGTCAAAGGATTTCAATTATTTTCTAACATTGCAGTCAATTCATCCATGTAAGCAGTTAACGTTTGACTGATAATGTTGAGTAATATTTTTGTAATTAATCGATAATGTTAGTGATTAATTTGTTACTTTTGAAACTTTAGTGGGTAAAATAAAAACTGACTCAAAAATTAGTGACCAAATGTGTAGTTTACCCAGTAATAAACTATACTCCATGAATAAGAGGCAAATGAAAGTAGGGCTTAGATTTGGACAGCAAGGCAACGTGGAAGATGGGATCTAAGGTAAATAGATAGAGAGCAAAAGGCTGAAGCAATGGCTCCCTCATTTTGGGCCATATGTTTCAGCATCCATTGTTCAAATTTCAGACAATGACATTTTTCAATAAAGATAAAGAAAATGCTGCACATGGCCAGCATTTTGAAGCACACGTTTCAGATGGGAGAAGGTTGAAGATGAAGTAATTAAAAAAAAAGATTAAAATAACCAAAAATAAACTGAAAAATAGTCTCCCGAGCAATGGCTTTCCGGGGTTTGGGGGTTTTACCAGCAAAAACACGTGAGGATGTGGATTTGTCAAGCTTTTCGAACCATTTGGCCAGACTTGAAAGGGAAAAGAAAATATAAAAAACACAATGTACTGACTGCTGCATGAATGTGATTTGATTGGCTACAAACACTGGAGCAACGCGGGTTAAATAAGACCACTTAACCCATATCCACACACCTATTCAATAAGATCTGATTGCTTAATCAAATGGTTAACTATTATGGGATAAAACACATAAATGGTCCGCGGTTATAAGGTATTTCATTATTGAATTTTAGATTATTAAAAATTATGAAATAATCATTTAATTTTAGTATATTAATTTGTTGAATCACCAACTATTGAAAGTTACAAAATGATCATCCGATTGTTCATATGTTTTAAATTTGTTTTTTTTTTGTCAAAATATTGGCGAAAGTCTGAACTGGACATTAACATGTTGATTATGATATGATAAAATTTAATCTTAAAATATTAAACAACTATCATAACATACAACCCATACTATCATCAAATTTTAACCAAAAAATAAATAACTGGATAATTATTTTATAATTTTTAATAATTAATGGACTTAACAAACAACATATTATAATTAAAGACTATTTTATCATTTTTAATAATTAAAAGATTAAATAAAGCAGCCCCTATAGTCTAACCATTTATGTACAGTATCCATTATTATTCTACCTTTTTTATATATATTTTTGCTTCACAATGTTCTTCTCTGACAGTTTTTGTTCTCGGTTTTCACCTGTGCATCTGTCATGTTTGACAGAAGATTCAGCCTATATATGCTACGGTGAAAACTAGGTTTCCACCTAATCAAAGAGTGAAACAACATGCAAATTGAACAAAAATAACTTAGAAATCTAATTTATGTTGCAAAAATAACTCATTATGACAGAATGTATGTATATAATAATATGAACAAATCACATAAACTTTGCTGTCTTACTTGGTCATTAAGAAGTTAATTTCTACTCCTACCAGGCCCTTCATACTCCCATTGCTGTATAATCCAAAAACCTCTGAAGAAGCTTCAAAACATGTTCTTCACACTAATTACATTAATTTTTATACCTATGGACATTGTTAAAATGCAATTGTGTGCTACCCGAGAGATGATGATAGTGGCTGTAACGAATTCGGTTCGGCTGAAAATGCTGCCATCAGCTTTTCCCTTGTTAGCTGCTCTGATCCTTGAGACTTGATAACAAATGTATGAAACACGGTATCGTCCACTGCGACGAGTTTCGACTCGAGTATGTTGATATCTGCTGCTTTGAATGCTTGGATTACTCTTGATGCAGGGTGTGAATCTGAAGGACAGCTTACTCTTACAACAACTTCATCTTGAACAGCTTGAACATTGATATTAGCCGCTCCGACGTGATTCTCTGTGTTTGCGTTAGGATCTAACCCTGCTGAATCTCTTGAAGTATTACAGAACTTCCCCCTTTCTGATTCCATGATCTTAAGTTTCGCTTGAAGCTCATTGATGTAAGCGATTGCATCTCCTAACAACGAAGCTTTGTCCATCCTGGATATGTTGGGCACCACAGCTCTTAAAGCATAGAAACGCTGGTTCAGTTTCTCGCGTCGCAGCCTCTCGGCTTCAACATGATTAAGAGGCTCTTCTCTACCGTTAGCAGGCTTTCGACCCCTTTTCCGGGGTCTCCTTTCATCAGCCGCACTAGGTTTCTCTTCCTTGCAAGGAGCTTCAACATCCAAGGGCTCATATTCAGCACTTAATGGCTGAGTAGTTGCAGAAGAAGGCCTTGAGGCGGCCCCTGAAAAATCGATTTGCATTTGAACAGGCTTTTGCGACTGATACTGATTAAGCCGAAACTCCTCCCTAGTTCCATTAACAAGCTCCTGAACATCATTTGTCGCGTGTTGAGAACCATAAAAGTTGGTAGAACTCCCCTGTTTCACACCATGAAGCCAACCTGAACCATGAACACCATTTTGATTCCTTGAAAATGGAAGCTTACCACCATTAGCATAAGCTGACCATGTTGGTCTATCTTCCATCTTTCTAACAGCGAGTTTCTCCCGATGATGGGGATGAACATGTGAAATGTTGTTCAGATCCTGCCCAAAATTCTTTGGAACTCCTTCCACAATCCCCAAATTCAAAAAATGGGAAGAGTCCTCATGTTTCTTCTCATCCACCACAGGTACTGCTGCTGCTACAGCCATTTGCTTCATCCCAACCAGCGGATAATTCGACGAAAACAAACTTCTTATGGACTGCAACAACTCCAAGCTTTCAGGCACCGATCTAACCGACCCCAATTCGACAACACCAACATCAGTAGGTACCAGAACAATGGTTTGAACACCGGCAGACTTTGTCAAAAAAGACCGAACACAATAATCCAATCCCGATTTCAATGCATCCGAGACCCATACATGTTTCCCGGACAGAAAACACTTCCCAGGGCCTCCCTCTCCTCGAGGGAAAGAAAAATACATGGAAGCTAAAAAGAACATCTCAGTATCAGTAACTCTGTCCAATCCAAGTGCATAATTATCCTCATCTGATCCACCGAACAAAGTATGCAATTTCTGCAAAACCCTTTTCCTCGTATTCTGCTGAGTCTCGTCTTCGAGGCGAAGGCTAAGAATCCGAGCCGTTTCGGGTTCTTCTCCTTCTTTAGGCTCTCGACAACACCCATCGCTCCATCCGAGGACCCAGTCGCCGGTCTTGGACCGCGAAATTTGCCAGAAAATGGCGTAGTTCCAGCTGAAATTAGAAGCGTTGGGGCAGTCCACGAGATCTGAGAGCTTGTTTTGGAGATTTTCATCACTTGTTGTGGTCATTGAAAGGTTTTCATTTGAAACCGAGTTTGATATCAAGTAGTCAAATGCTCTTGTTCCTAATACAGCGGCAACCATGGCCTTATCTTCATCGTTCCAATCCCCACCTCCCATGCCCAATTCAATTTTCATCTCCTAAACCACTCCAAACAACCCAATCCAGAACACCCCAAAAAAATGAATAAAGATTACAACTTTCCAGAATACCCAGATCAAATCTCACCCGTAAAAGAAGAAAAATCAATGCATTTATAACTAAACTAGGACACCATAACGTCATCTCTACATGCACAACATATAGCAACCATTTCCACTCTTTCCAGATCCTACTAGCTCCTAAATAAGAAGGGAAACCCAGAAAAAAAAAGCTAAAATCAAAGCGAAAAAGATATAATAATTGGAGAAATACACACCAGTTTACATGGAAAAGCAAGTTAGGGATCAGCAGAAGAGTGCAAAAGTCACAGGGCACTGTCAAAAACAAAAACACACAAGGAAAGAAGTTTCCCCAGAAAACTAAAGGATCAGTTGAAAAGGAGAACGGGAGAAGTAATAAGGCCTTCGTTCAATTTCCCTTTCTTTTCCTTTTTCTAAAATCCTAAATACAATAAGTGGATCATGGTTAAGCAAGGGAGATTAGGGTTAAATACTAAGGTAAAATTTTGGATTTTAATTTTAATTCGTTTTAAAGTTGGAGGGTAAGTCGGACAAGAAATTTTCCTTTAATTATTATTACTGGTCGTAATGAGAGAGATTTGGAACATCAATTTTCATATAATAGTTAATAAGCATAATATAATAGGTTTAATATGTAATTTTATTAATTTTATATCAAATCCAAGTTATTAATGTTGTTTTATTTTCTTTAATTATATTAATTTAATTTTTTTAATTTGTTAAATTACATTAATTTAATTTTGTATAAGCAAAAATCAATATAAAGACAAAATTACACAATAAAATTTTTTTCTAATAATATGAGATAAATGTAAGATATTATCTATTGTATGATGTTTATAATATTCAAACTTAAAATTTTAAAAAATAACAATAATACATTTACAATCGAAATCGCTATGTGCGTATGTTATTTTCCCCTTAAATAAACGTTTTCAATGATATTGATTTTAGGATAATGAAAATGAGTTATTGTAGTTTATAAGGTAGGGGTGTATTCGGTTCAGTTTTTTACCAAAAATTGAATCGAACCGAAATAAACGGGTTTTTAATATTTAAACCGAAACCGAATAGTTAAAAAACCGAAAAAATTGAAACCGGTTTTTTGGTTCGGTTCGGTTTTTTTAACGGTTCGGTTCGATTTATCGGTTTTTCAATAAAAAAATCACTTGAAACTAGAATTTTTTTACAAAAATTGTCTATTCGGTTCAATATGGAACAAATGGGTTCCATATGGAAAACCCGAACCGAACCGAATCAAAAAAATGAAGTCTTTAAACCGAACCGAAAATCGAATCGTTTAAAGTCAAACCGAACCGAACCGTTTTACTCGATTCGTGTCGGTTTTTCGATTTTCTCGGTTTCGTTGCTCAGCCCTATTATAAGGCACACAAATTGTATGAATATTCAGAGAAGGAAATTATATAAATTTCACGTTAAACACCGACACATAACAATTAGTCAAGTTTACAACACGTTCTTCCTGTGATATTAATCAATATCTTATATCTAAAAATACAATATCACATTAAATCAGAATCACAAATAAGTTAAGAATTCTCAATTTCTTTAAAATTTTCTTAATTGCCTTAGAAAAATAAAATAAAACTTCCACAGACTGACATCTTCAATATAATGTTATTATATTTAAATTATTTTTAAAACCATAAAAATTCAATAATAATCATACTGTATATTTTTATGATTATAATATTAAAAAAAAGATGAAAGTGTGCAAGTTGGAAAGGTTCATTCATAAATGTGGGCATGTGGCATCTGTGAAGGGAAGTGAAAGAAGTGTTGACCGAGGTAGGGTCCCGGAGTTTAAGCTTAATTATTTTAAAATACACCTGAAATTAGCGACTAATTGATATTTTTTTAAATTATGCCGATGATATATAGCACAAGGTTCTCAGTAGGGATTGTCTTTGGGGAATCATGACATGGATAGCTTAACAGAAAGTCAGCCCTACGAACCCCATAACAGTTTTGATAAATTCGAGGTTTCACCGTTAATTTGGTGATTAGATCCTTAACAACGCTACCCCATGGCCCTTTCTTGAGTAGAATCCAAGGCAAAACCAAGGTTGAAAGTGATATGAAGCCAAACAAATTATTAAAATACCCATTAATTTAAAGAGTAATTCTTATTATAACATTTTCTATTGTATTTTCATGTTTTTTTTATATCTTTTAAATAAAAAGAGTTGAAATTGAAATTCGAGTACAAAATCAATAATTTGTGTATAATTAAATTATTTATTTTAATGATTTTTTTTAAAGTTTACAAGAAACTAACAAATAAAATTCTAGATAACTCAAATTTATTATTTAAATTTCAGCTAGAGACATGGTTTTCATTTTTTTCCCGTAAATTTATCTCATTTAATATACATCTCCATTAAAATTATAAAATTATATTTTATATAAAGTTTATAAATCAAATTTAAAACTAATTATTTTTATTAACTTGTCATATTATTAGCACGATAAAATTTATATTTAAATTATTATTTTATAATAAATTAATAAAGCAAATGATTAAAACTTAATTTGTAAAATAGAATAATTAAAATCATAAAAATAAAAATGGGTGACTATCCATATAATTTACTCTTATATTTATATGTATAGGTGTAAATGAATAGAGCATTTGATGAATTGTTCGAATAATATTCATTGTTTAAGTTAAATAAATGAATGCAAAAAAAATCTATATTCATTTAATAAGTGAACGAACATGAACATATGTGTACAAACTACAAACAAAGGTGTGTTCTATTCGTTTATGTTATTGAATAAGTTCATTTGTTGACTCATTTATCAATTCATTTAAGAGCTAAATTATTTGGTTATCATTTTCCTTTTAATTTTTACATTTTAAATATCATTAAAAGGTATAATTGAGCACAATGTGAATTTTGGAGTTCAAACTATAAAACATAAGGAACATAATAACTAATGGCGTAATATTATTAATTTTCTTCTACTTGCAAATAAAATGGTAAAAAGAGTGTTAAATGAATATATTGATGATCGTTAAATGAATATATTTATGAAAGTTAAACGAACGTTAAACAAACATCTTAAAAAAATTAATACGAACATGATACTAAAAATTAAAAAAAATATGTGATCACTTCTAAAAGTAAACAAATGAATGCAAACATTATTTTACTTATTCATGCTTGATTCGTTTACACTTGTATAATTGTACCAGTAAAAATAGTTTTTAAATATATAATTGTATCAAAAAATTTATATTATTAATATATATGTGCTCTCAATTTTTTTTAGATCGATCACAATGCACAATATTAATCGATTTAAATATCAATAGAGATGGAGATAATGTCGATGGTAGCTATAACTAAATCTAATGTTAAATGAAAAAAAATGTGATTTATAATTTTGACGACTAACAGTTTTGTATAATATTATTAAAATACCAAAGTCGCTATACCAAAACTTCACGTGCTAATATAGATGTGAGAGGAGCCATGGGTATATGAATGCTAATTCATGGTCGACCAAACACGTATCCTCTTCGGGTATGTATAAGTACGGCAGAATTAATAAACATCTAAGGAAAAACATTATCAAAAATATTAATATATTTTTTAATATTTTTGATAAAATAATATCTCAAATATTATTTTTTTACTAAAAATATTAATATTGAATGTTACGTAAAATTTTTTTACAGATTTTTCAATCAAAACTTACGTAATAAAATTAATATTTTCAATACAAATTTATTTAATTGTATGTTAAACTACCATACAATAAAATTAATATTTTCAATACAAATTTATTTAATTGTATGTTAAACTACCATACGATAGAACTGTTGCGGAATACGGCTATCGGATAGAGCAAAATCGCAACTGATAATTTGAGAAAATAAAAATGAAGATAAAAGAGACACAAAATTTACGTGGAAAACCTCTAAAAAATATAGGATAAAAATCACGGGCAACGGTAGAAGAATTTCACTATGAGAAAATAGGAATTACAACCTCTCTCGATCTACCAAGGAGAAAACAATGATAATTCTCTCTTGATAAAAAGGAGAAAATAACTTTCAAGAAACTCTCTAAATTCTTTCTAGTATTGGAAGAAAGCTAGAATGCTTTGGGATGGTTTTGAAGCTAAATGAGATAGGCTATTTATAGCTAAATCTTAAGGACTTAATCTTGTAAATACCCTAAATTTTAGTGACTAGAGTTTGTAATTTGACCATATAAAAATAATAAAAAATTATGCACCTAATTTTCGGTGCCAATCCATTTATTATTTTTGACTTTCTACAACTCTCACTTGAAGATTTGATTGGAACAATCATATCTTCACACCATTCTTTCTACCTTGTACCATCATGTTGCTTACGTCTCTGACAGGCCACAAGAGGATCGACACCAAGTAAATTTATCAGTATTGATCTCCTTCGTCATGAAATCTGCTATGTTGTCTTTGGTATGGATTTTTTGCATATCTATCGTCCCTTCTTCTACCTTTTCACGAATGAAATGGTACTGAACTCGTATGTGCTTTGTCCTTGAATGAAATGCTGGATTCCTTGCTAAATGCAAGACGCTTTGACTGTCACAAAACAAAGAGACATACCCCTGATTGTGCCCAAGCTCCTCCAATAGCATCTTCAACCAAATTGCTTCTTTACTGGCTTGTGTAGCTGCTACATATTCTGCCTCTGTTGTGGATGTAGCCACAACTGACTGTAATTTTGAAACCCAACTTACAGCTCCACCAGCAACTTTGAACACATATCATGTAGTAGATTTGCTTTTATCCAAATCCCATGCATAGTCAGAATCTACATACCCATTGATTAGTAAGTTTGATCTTTCGTAACATAATGCAACATTTGAGGTCCCTTTGATGTATCTCAGGATCCTCTTTACTGTATTCCAATGCTCTTTGCCTGGATTCTCCATGTACCGACTAACCACTCCCACTGCTTGTGTAATGTCTGGTCTTGTGCATATCATAGCGAACATTAAGCTTCCCACTGCTGATGCATACGGTACTCGAGACATCTCCATCCTCTCTTCTTCACTGCTAGGACCCATACTGGAGGATAATTTGAAGTTAATAGGAAGAGTGATAGAAATTGGCTTACAATCTTGCATGCTAAATCGTGACAAAATTTTCTTCAAGTAATTCTTTTTGAAAGCCAAATCTTCCTATTACTTCTGTCTCGGTGAATTTGCATCCCTAGAATTTTGTTTGCTGATCCCAAGTCCTTCATTTCAAATTTCCTAGCCAGTTGTGCCTTCAATTCTTCAATATGATCTTTGTTGGGTCCTGTAACCAACATGACATCCACATACAACATCAATATAACAAAATCGTTATCACCAGACCTCTTGAAATAAGTATAAGGGTCAACATTAAGTCT